ACTGTGACTCACGTCTTTCCACCATTATTTCAATCAGAATGCTTTTGTTGTTATCACATTATAAAATACAAAAAATCGAGTGCGAGTTCTGTCTCAAAAAAAGAATAAAAAGTCAGCAGAAGATGATAAATAATGATCAATATTAAGGTGTCAAGCATGAAAGAGACGGTGCTTTACAGTATTCGATTTCAGACAGTAACTGCACTGTTTGCCTTTGTTTTGATGGACTTTTACCTTCAACCACCGGGCAACAGGTCAAGCAGAGTCCAGAGTGAGAAAACTTCTTCTGCTCACCTTCAAGGCCATTCATAACCTCACACCTCCTTACCTGTCTGACCTGTTAAGCACCACCTTTTCTGTCCACTCGCTTTGATCATCTTCTTCTATCCAGCTTTCTGTGCCTTCCTTCCGCCTCACCGCCATGGGCAGCAGAGCTTTCAGCTGCTCTGCTCCCAGGCTGTGGAGCTCTCTGCCCCCAGATAAAGGAAACACTGGTTCTCTCCCCCAGTTTAAATCCCAACCCAAAACCCATCTGTTCAAATCTGCATATTCACTGTGAGCCCACTGTTTGTTAATTTTATCTTGTGCTTTTGTTTTTTTATTGTTCGTCATTGTTCTATTATGTGTTTTTATCTATTGTACAGTGTCCTTGGGTGTCTTGAAAGGTGCTTTATAAATACAATTTATTATTATTATTAATCATATTTAGTGATTTTAAGGTGATATTTTGCATTAACAGCTTCTTGTAGGGAGGGGAGTGTGCAGCCAGCAGTCTTTGGTAATGTGTTTGTTATTTCCTTCTGATTACCCTTTTTATCTGCTGCAGAGCATCCGGCTGTTAGGCAGTACACCGGGATGCTTTCTACACATAATAAAAGGCCACCAGCAGTTTGCCATGCACACAGTTCCTCTCCAGCAACCTCAGGAAGTGAAGTGCTGCTGAGCTTGTTAATGTTCACAGACCAGGTGAGTTTGTCAGAAATGAGGGTCCTTCTCTACACGGTTCTTACTATTAAACAAATAATTGAATAATCTTAGAAAGAAATCTTTCATTTGGGAGATAAAAGGTTGTGCCAGAACAGAAACATCCTGCTCCGAACGGGTGGAAATCTCTGCAGCAGGGTCACACGTGATCCACTGTCCACATACTTTTGGAAATCCTCCGATGAGATGCGATTGTGCGTCGAACTGACGCACAAACAGACCCTCAGCATATGTAACGATTATTGAAACAAGATGTAGCGGTGCTTGGCCATTAGCTCAGCTGCTTTTTAGAGATGCAGCGCCATAAAGAACCTGTTGCCATGGAAACTGGATGCTGAATAGAGGCAGTGGCGTAAAGAAGCAGAGGGAAAGAAAGAGAAAGATGTGATGCCGACTGAATGGCCAGAGCTCGGCCAGCATGTGGTCGATTCTAGCTGCAGTCAGACAGGAGGAGGTGATTTCAGCCAACGTCTTTAGAAGAAATCCTTAATGAGAGTCGCTGTAAAACAAAATAACGACGTCAAGTTTGAAATCAAGATTCAAACCCTGTTACTCTGAGTGAAAGACGTCATCCCAGTGCACTGCAAGAAAGGATCTGTGGACATTTGCTCTCTCTCTCTCTATCCTTCTTTTATCGATGTAAAACCTTCAAGATTCAACTTCAGGAGCCAAAAGCTTTTTAATCTTAGTCATTTTCGTTATTTTTATTGATGTATTGCAGATCTACAGTATTTTAGTTTTAGGTCTTTAAAAGAAATTAGAAACAGTTAGAAATATTCCGTTTTGCTTGCGATGCTTTGGTAATTTATTTAAACATTCCTCACAACAAAAAGACAAATCTGCAGCACATTGCTGAACTAGAACACCACCTGGGTGTAACAAGTGAGAAGATCTGCCTTTAAGTTTGCCATATGTTATTAAAAACAGTCTTTATACTCCAGTAAACTGCTGATACTGAGAGGAGACCAAAGAGGACACTCTGCAGGAGTGAGGCTCACGCTCACATTTGGACTTTTTTGAGCTTTTCAGGAAACAGGAAGGTGGCTTGGGTTTCCCCCAGTCTGAATTATACTTTGCTGATATATAAATACATTATCTTTGTGGCGTGGTTGATTTCCTGGCACTAACCTAGATGAAAATGGCTGTTTGGCTGTGGATTGAACACATGTCCTGCAGGCAGACGTCTCTCACATCACTCCCGAACAGTTAGACTTTTACAGTGAGAATCCTAGAGTGCAACACCCATTAAAAGTCTGGTCTCAGATGCTCACTATACTGACAAAAATCTATATGCTGACACACTGATATGCTTTAATCATGTATAGCAGGTCTGGAGGAGCTCGTCTTTAAAGTCTAGAAGCAGAAGGGTAAGAGTATGAGGTATTGATGGCCAGCTACAGCAGACGTTTTAGTTTTCACATTTGCATTTATTTTCATTTTTAGAGTTTGAAACAACTCTAAAAATCACGTCCCAAAGTATGAACAGAGACCTCTTCATGCAGCTTTACAGTGTCCTGAATAATCAGACGTCTTCCAGTGGAGCTGTAAAGCTCCATCCTCGGGATCATTCCGACTAGACTGGAATGAAGAAGTGGACGCTCAGATCGCTGATGAAGTCTGGGAAAAATCTTTGGAAAAAATTGGTGGTACTTCTATAAATGCTCACGTTCAAAACCGTCCACAGACTACACTTCTCTCCATCCAGATTACATAAATTATTCAAAGACATTCCACCTCTGGGTGTGAAAGTTCAACAGAGAAAGGAACCCGATCTCATCAGTGTAACAGATTACAGACTTTGTCACCAAGGATTTAAACAGGGGGGGCTTTGTTTGGCCCCTCTTACAGCACAGTGTAGGGTGATGATTCGAGCAGTGTGGAGGATTAGCACATTTCCTACAATCCAGGAAGTCTGAGACGCCTCCAACAAGTCAAACAATGCAAAGGCTGAAAAGTTGAACTGAAACTTTTTTGGTCTTATTGATGATGTCACACTGTCCTATAAATATGTATAACAGGTAATAATGTAATTGAGTCTGTATGCTAACACCATAAATACTAACACCTAAATCCTCCTTAAGTACCTTTTTTTTAGCTCTCTCAGAGACCTTGTAGTTTAATCTACCTGATGTTTTATAAAAAGATAAAATTATAATTAATTGATTATTATAAACAATATTATACTTCTTATAAAGTGAATATTATGAATAATTAGTGCTTGAGATTATTGCTGCATTTTAATTTTGCAACATGTTTGCAGTTTTAGTTCAATATTCCTTTCAGCTTTGATTTCATTTTACTGTTTACTGAAGACAGAAATATTTTGATAGCATTTTTATAATATTTTTCACTGCTTTCCTCCTTAAACGTAAATGAAAGATTACAGTAGTACTGTCAGTAGCAGTGCTCACACGATGTTTACCATGAGTATAGGTCAGGGTCACCTCATGGCTACAGCTGGTTCCTAGTGACAGACTTCAAACTTCAAAACAAAAAGGTTTTCATCTGAATTATTAGAGAATGAGCTTTTTAACAAAAATAACGTCCAGTTTATATAATTTTGTCACAACCCGGTTCTTAAGGATATGACAAAGAGGCGGACACACCTTTAAGAAAATAGTTTATTAAGAAATTAAAGAGAAACTAATTCAGCACACGGCATGGTGGCAGGGAGAGAGAAACGCGGGAGTCCCAGCCACAGATTTATAGTCTGGGAACACACCTTCCAGGTGTGCTCAGGAGCCCCGCCCACCGAAGACCTGAAACACATGTAGAGAGAAAAGCCTGGGAACAAGGGACAGAGATTTAACTGTGAAAACCTGTGAACAAATTTAGACTTACCTTATTTTATCACAGTACCTGAGATACGAGCACTATTCCCTGTTTCCAAAATGGGATTGGCCGTGCGAGCGGTTATCTTTGCAAAGACCGCAGCGGTGCGATGAGAGTGCAGATCTGACATCGATAAGATGCGTTTCACTGAGTTCGTTCAGCAAAGTTTGGCGGAGTTACTCAGAACTCCTGTCCATGGAGCGCACAGCCGTCGTGACGTCACCCCCCGTTGCTGCAGAAACGGCGCTTTCACTCACCGGAATTCAAACAAAGCGCGAAAGGATGTTCTTCAAAATAAGAGCACATAAAACCCGCAAACCTTTCATTTGAAAACGTAATTCCACACAGATTTATGATAATATTCATTGGCTGATTCGGTCACTGATTCGAGGTTTAAAAACAGGGCAAAAACCCCAAATATATAAAATAATTTTGCTAAAACCCAGACAACGAGCTGATGCGGAACTTTGAGAAGCAAGTCTGCACTCAGAAACCTCATTTTAATGGTTAATTAACCTTAATGTCAGTGGTCAATGAGACATGAAAATTACACGTGTGCACTCATCAGTCAAATATGAAAAGTTTGTCTTTAGTGAAGACTTGAGACTCCTCTAAACACTCTTTTACCTACACTGTCTTTTCTTTCTTTGTTTTTTACTCTTTTTTTCTATGAGGAAGTGTCTCTAATGACACTCTCAGGCAGAGAAGCCTCCACTAACAATTACAGCATTACAAAGTGCAAAAATATTAAAACAAGTCACTGTAACTGTTCTTTAACCAGTTAAATGATCAAAAATCTTTATATTTGTCAAGCTCTGCAAAAGGTGAATACCTTACTAGGTATTTAAAAAATGTGAGTAACTCAAAATTTTGAGATACTAAACTTAAATTTTGCATTAAATAAATGAATAATAAAATAAATAAGTAATAATGGTTAAAAAAAAATACATTTAAATTAAAAAGTGCTGGAAACAAGCTTCCATTCCTGAGTTTAGGCAAATAATCGATTTTAAGTAATCTAAAAATATCAAAGTTACAAGGCTTGTTTAAAAAGATCTATGGTAGCAATAAGAATGAAAAACGATCATTTCCTAAAGAGAGAGCGTGGGGCGCTTGAGCCATTTTAGTTTTAATCTGAAGGTACACCGGAAGTGATGCCGTTTGTGTTGAGGCTAATCTGACGAGAATGGAAGCGTTGAGGAGGCGTGTGGTTCCAAACAGGAAGAAACTGGGAAAACACGCATTAAATACGATATCCTCGGACACAGCCTACTAACAGCCTGGGGCAGATGGTACAAACTACTTTTTCTCCATGCCGGAGGCCTGTGGACCGTTCCTGGTGTACTCCTTTTAGATCTGTCCCGCAGTCGGAGGGGCTGTTTGGGGGGGCTGACGCACCAGCAGAAGCGCAGGAAGGCGGGGGGCTGTCATAGCAGCAGGCTAGGCTAGGCTAGGCTAGGCTAGGCTAAGCCTGGCTAAGCTAACCTAAGCGCTGCAGCCCGGAGAAACCTTGAACTTGTGTAAACTTTGTGGAGTACAACACCGGAAGTAGCATCACCGGAGTGGTTAAACGACAACCACGGACTCCACAGATGAGACAAATATACACAGACGTCTATTATTTTTATAGTTTTTTTTTTCCTAAAAAGTGTTAGCCTGGCAGCGGACTTATAGCCAGTTAGCTGTTGAACACATCCAGGCTCTGGCAGAGGGACGTGAGCGGGAGAAAATCGCCTCAGTTTGCCCCATGCACATCCGCAGAATGGATCTAATTTGCGTTGTTAACCAGTGAAAAGCTATTGGACGCTAACTAACACAGTGGATGTTAATTAATCACTGAGGTATCAGCGGATGAAGATTGTTTTTTGACACATAAGAGGGACTTTTTTTCTGTTTTGTCATATCGGTTTTTGTGATAACTTCTGCTTTCCGTTAGTGTGGTTATCATGGAGGTAGGGGAGCCTGGCAGCGGCAGCTCGGAGCGGTTACATAACGCCAGCAGGCCGGTAGAGAAGCTGCTGAACGTCGCCTCCTCTTCAGCCTCCTCAGCCTGGCTCTGACAGCTGTAAACCCCCTCCAGCGCATACACACACACACACACTAACAGACTCACAGACGCACAAACAAACACAGACAGACTGACAGCAGGACAGCAGCATGGAGGTGGTGTGAGGCATCTGGGAGATAGAAAACAGCAACGAGAAGGATCGTTTTGCTGAAGATGGAGTCCAACCCACTGATTAACGGTGAGAAATACTGCTGCAGGATACAGTTGCGTGCGTGCGTGTGTGTACCGCAGTCCTGCGTGTGTTTCTGTGCACTTTGGAGGGAAGAAGCAGCAGCTTTGCAACAGGTGTGTGGAAGCTGCTGTGGCCTGCAGCTGGGTTGGACCTGAATTGTTTTCATGCTGCTGCAGGCGTGTACAAACTTGCAGCCTGAGAGAGAAAATCCACACTAAATGCTCTTTAACTATTCACAGTAGGGGGGCAGAAAGTCACTGCAGGGGGGATGGTGTGTGTTTATATGTTTACTGTTGCTACAGCACTAATACCTGTTTATGATTTGGAGCAGAGCACACTACTAGAGATTAATACAGGGGTTATGAAAATGACAGTTTCTGCTTTATTTTATCAATTCATATGAACATAAATGGAAATGCAGCATGCTAAAAAAACCCATTGTCAATCAGTAACTTCTGAGATGGTATTGCATAGTGAATCGAAATCTATTTGTACGTCTCTGCAGTTTTAATTACATCTTTTTTGAAAAGATCAACACCACTGGTTGAAATACAGTTCCAAACCATGACAGAGTCTCCACAGTGTTTTACAGGTGGCTGTAGACACTGTTGTAGCTTTCTCCTGACCTCCTTCATACATACTGATGATGATTTGACTCAGAAATATCAAATTTGGATTAATTGCTCAATTAGACCCTTTGTCAGTGATTTTCACTTGAGTTCTTGTGTAATTTTCATACATCAACCTTTCCTTTTCCATTCCCTTTCACTGCTTTCTTGACTGCCACCCTTCCACTGAGATCATTGCTGAAACTTCAGTGATCTCTCAGGTCCTGTGTCAGGTTTTTGCTGGATTTGTTTTAAGGACGTGACTTTCAGATGCTGTCTGTCTGATGTAAACAGTTTCTTAGTTCTGCGAGTTTTTCTTTTGTCCTTAACTTGTCCACTTTCTTAGATTTTTCAAGGACATGCTGCACACCATTGCGAGATATAATGCAAGTGCTTGGCAATGTGGTCGAGCAAAAATACTACAGTATGCACTACAGTTTTACAGTACTGTGCAAAATGGAACAACGTTGTGATGATACTGATTGGTTTTGGGCTGCAATTGAGGTTATCGATTGCTTCCATGTGTTCTGCTTTTGCTAGTTGGCACCAGAAATACCTGTTGGCTAAATGAATGATTTTTGTTTTATAATGTACAACGGCAGTATCTATTCGTTCAAAAATGACACAACTTCATTGACCACTAGCCAGAGCAAAAGCCCTGACACATAGCTGTGGCCCATCTGTCTGATCTGACCCATTTTTCCAATCCGATGCCAACTTTCTGGCTGTGAGTGTGTGATACAGCATACCTGTTATCAGCATTAAATTAATAAACCGTGTGTAACCTTGGCTACGTTCACTTTGCAGGTCTTAATGCTCAATTCCGATCTTTTGATCAAATCCGATTTTTTTGTCTGCTTGTTCACACTACGAATAAAATGCGACAGCAAACGTGCTCTAGTGTGAACGCTCAAAGCGGCCCGCATGAGCAAAAGATGTCACACACAACGCGCTCTGTTTAGACCCAGACCAAACAATATTGTTTGACTGATGGCCCTTAATATAAAGACTTCGGATTTTACGTTTCCCAATTTTTGCTTTAAGTTATTTTGTTATTTACATAATAATGTAAATAACCTAATAATGATCCTCATTGCTGTTTTAAGGATAGTTGCAGATTTCTGTCAGAATCTGCAGATTATACAGTACAAAGAAAATGTTAACGTTGTCTTCCCAACAGTTTCACTGACATCTACTCTGGATGGCCAGGAAGCGTTCACGATGTCTTCTCCAGCGCTGATAATTAGCATCTGTCTTGTGTCAGTGACGTAAAAGATGGATTTAATGCGACATGACTATTCAAACAGCAGTCGCTTTCTAAAACATCGGATATGTATCGGATTCAGTACCACATATGAAAGTGACCCAGATCGGATTTGAAAATATCGGATTTGTGCCGTTCACACTGTCACACCATGATCGGATATGGGTCGCATAGGGTCAAAAAATTCGGATTTGATGTGCCACAGCCGCTCTATCACGTGACACATACTGCTCCGACGGGCTAAGGTTATGAGCTGAGTAGGGCTGCCACGATTAGTCAACTAGTCACGATTACGTCAACTATCAAAATCGTCGACGACTGGTTTAATCGTCGACGCGTCGTTTGAAGCTTTGTAAGATCACAAAAGACGCAGGAATAAGTAGCATGATTTAAGAGTGCAATAACGGACTGAAACAGAAGATGGCAGCACTGCATGTACAAGGATGCCAGCTGCCGTTAAACCCTGAAGAAGAAGAAGCAGTGTCCCAGAATTCATATCGCAGCCCAGCTCAGTTTCCAACAATGGCGGCAGCTAGTTAGTTTTAATATTACTCTTATTATTCTTTCTGGGTCACAAAATAAATGTTTAGCATATTTTCAGGTGAGAATGTAGCTGTGTAAACCTCAAATATCTTCTCAGTTTATCAAGACACTAGGGCTGCTCAATTAATCGAATTTTAATCACGATTACGATCTGGGCTTTCAACGATCATTAAAAATGACTGAGCCGATTATTAGCCCCTCCCTCATTTATCCGCGGCACCTTAAAGGCCGGTCCGTGAAAATATTGTCGGGCATAAACCGGTCCGTGGCGCAAAAAAGGTTGAGACCGCTGATTAAGAGGACCCGAGGGAAACTCGGAAAGCTAAGCAGAAGTTATTTGGAGAGGAGAGTGACTGCCGTTGGTTGAAAAGAGAGGTAAAAAAAAACAAAAAAAACCTTCAGTGGTGTTGCACACTATTTTATATTATTTTTTAAAGTCATTATTCAATACATTGTTATTGTTAACCCTTTAAAGCCGGTCAGAGCAGCACGCTCCGTTTTGTGTAACTATTTTTAAATCCCTGTAGAACCTGAACCGTGTAAGCTAGCGCAATAATTTGTTTTGCGTATGAAACTTACATCTTATGTCATCAGCTTGTCCTCGGTCACGGTTTCCTTTCACATAAATTGCATAAAAAGCGCTTGCAGGAACAAAAACATAATATTCCAGAAACACGCTTTACCGATCCGATCAGCTGTTCGTAACACTTCGCACATTGAAACAGAAGTCACCGCTAACGATCACATGTCCGCCATTTCCTGCCCGAAACCGGAAGTGATGTCATTTTCGCGGAAAATGTAGTTTTTTTTTAACTTGTAGGCCTTAAAAGCCTATACTGGTCATGTTTGACGTTTCTGAATAGTTTCTGGGATGCTTAGAACTCGAATTGCACTGCTGGAAATAGTTTATTTTGATGCACCTACTGTTTTCTTTGCAAATTTGCATCATAGGATTGTTTTTGTTTTTCCTGCAGTATATAAAAATTGCTGTATCTCCAAAATAAAACTATGAAGACGCTCAAAATTAATTTCCTGTTGTTGTAAACTATTTTTTGCAACTTTTTTGTATTTAAAGTTTTGAGGGATAAACCTCTTAAATTGCTCCAAGTAGAAATATATGTTAAAAAACAAAAACGATTTTCAATTTTTTTTGTAGTTTATTGCACTTTTTTGCAATTAATGTAGTTACTATGGACTTAATGCATACATATTATTAAAATATGGGCTATAACAGTTGCATAGCAACTTGAAATGCTCCCACAAATGGCACTACAACATGTAAAAAAATAATATAAGCTCTGGCGGACTTGGTTCTATGGTAGGTCTTAAAGGGTTAAATAAATATCGTCAAATAATCGAGATCTCAATTTCAGTGAAAATAATCGTGATTATCATTTTAGCCATAATCGAGCAGCCCTACAAGACACCACATATTTTCAAAAGCGCTCCGACGTTTTCGGAGACATCTGTTACCCACCAGCTCGATAGCTAGCCGGGGGCTAGGCTCACTAGAGCCGTGAGAACACCGGACTCCCGGCAAATCGTTTTCAAACACACTGCCGTCTTTCGCTTTCACTTAGATACCTTAAAACTGTTATTGTTTGGCTTTTTCAGTATTTTATTAGTTCCTGAGTAAATCGGTTTGGCTGAGATTAAAGTTATAGTTTTTACACAGCTGAATAAACGTCAAGGAGACAGCTGATTATCAGAAGTGTGAGATGCTCGAGAATATACTGCGGTGTCCTGTTATATTTTAGATAGCAAGGAGTTTATTAAACTTCACTGAAACAATCTGCAAATGTCATTAAAATTTAATAACCCATCAACTTGTCTTTATTTTTAGTTAGCACTTACCTTAAACACTTAAAGCTGTAAGCTAATGATAGTTATATAAGAGCAGATGCTGCTGGGGCAATAAGCTGTACGTTTTACATTCAATGGATGATGATCTGATTAGTCGACTAATCGCAAAAATAATCGGTGACTAGTCGACTATCAAAATAATCGTTTGTGGCAGCCCTAGAGCTGAGTTACGCCATGTTGCAAGTTTTGTGAGGTGCTTTTGTGATATTTAATGGATCGGATTACATTTTTCATTACTCTCCGATATCCGATCCAGTAATTTAGGTCAGTATCGGACCAATACTGATACGTAATATCTGATCGGTTCATCTCTAGTAAAAAGTAAGGTTTTGTTTTGTTTGGGGGGGTGTTGCAAACATAGGTTTTGCCCCCTGCTGGCCAATAGAGCGAATGCAGGTTTAGGGCACAGACTGCAGTAAAGATCCAAGCGCTCTGGGCCTGTGTGGTTTATGAAGTGTGGCGTCTACTTGAATTTCACTGTAAAAACTGTCATTAACACAGCCCTATCACAGACATGATGCCTACTGTTATCATGGAGACAGTGTCAGGTCTGTGATGTAATATCACCTGCTGCCATGGCAACACTGACTCATTCTGATGTGTGTTGAGCGATGCTGTGAGATGTGACATGTTTCTGGTATGATGCGTGCTGATGAGGAGTCACAGCGCTGTCAGCTGTGCTATCGGGACCATCGTGTGGTTGGATTCCACGTCATTTCAAGGCTGAA